GGGACCATACCAGAAAGTATAGAGTAGCTGACTTCAAACATTTTGGAAAAACTGCATTCAATTTGAGACTTCATGGCAGCTTCAAACATCAGTGTGGTAAAATTTTATTAAAGTGCAAAGTAAAGGTCTTCAGCAACATAATCTGAACTGACCTGGAGCAGACAAAACATCATAGAAACAGCGAGATAATTCAAGTTATTAACTCATCAAAAAGCTGGAGAGATGGAACACCCATTTTGCAGGGTAGAGAGTGACTTTGATAGTTAACCCAATAGAGGGAGCTACACAAGCTCAGGGGCAATTTGGCTGAGGACAGTGGCACTGATAATTTAATTATACTGGTTGGTCACACTAGAACCAGAGTTACACTAGAGATATAGATCACAACAAGCTCACCAAGAGAGCTGGCCCTGCAGAATTCCTTTGATATGATGTACATCTCAGTGCTGTCCAAATTGCTGATGAGTCATGGATTGTTCTGCAGGAACAGGAATCTTAATAAATTATTTTATTGCATAATCCTTTCCTATTGATTCCTTTTATATATCTTCAGGAACTGCTAAATAACAACATACAACCCCCTGAGCTTTTTCACTGCCTGCCTCAGCATACCACATTGGTCTTGCAAAACTGCCAGGATAAAACTAAGGTTTAGGAACATACCAAACTCTAACTTTACATTCCTGTCAAACTGCCTCTGCAATCAGAGGAATGTCAAGTTGCACTGGCTGTAATTTGCCATAAGATCTCTGATGAGGTTTCTATCCTGAATCTCACCATCTTGTCTCAGTTTGTTAATTAGCAGTTTTAGGGATGGCTATTTTGCCTTTCTTTTTGCCACATTTTCTGGGATATGAAGAGGTTCTCATCAAATTTTTACATACTTACCAAGTAATTAACTTCATCAGCATAAATTAATCACCAAACCATACTAGGAGCTAAAAATGAGGTAAGAGCTCAATCCATAGCCTTAGGCTCTGCAGCAAAACTACTGCAATAATGCTTTTTTGAATTCAGGAGTTCCTACTTCCCATTTCTGCTCTCAGACTAAATCAATCCTTTAAGCTGCCTCTGAAATCCTCCAACTGCAGCAAATATAAACCTTGTAGAAGGGACCTGGGCCTGCACTCATTCAGAGAATTAATCTTCAGCAGGCAGGTGAACTACAGGGAAGAAACATTTAATATTGCCATTTGCAATTAGCAGCCTCTATCCACAGGCTTTGCGTTGCAGAGAGCAGCCCTGCAGGAAACTGTGACACTGAAACTGATTCTCTGGTGACAGTGGCCTTTATCACACACAGAGATGAAGGTGCAAATGGCTCTCTAGAGAAAAAGGGCCTCGAGGTCCAAGGTAAATGGTTTTCAAAAAACAGCACAGAAAGTGAGCCAACTGCTGATGTGTGCAGACTGTGTTTGAAACAGGAGGGCAAAGCTACTTGCTGAAGGGAAACTGGGTCTGGGGACATTTAAGCTTCAGGATGGACAATGCTCTGTTGTGAAATCTGTGTATTGAGGACTTCTTCTTTTGCCTGTGTGGCTAGATTTCTGGGAAGAGGCACTTTCCATAAAACCATATTCAAGAAACCAATGCTGAAGTAATTATTTTTCCCGTTTAGTTTGCAAGTGGTTACAAAACAATGAAGGTCTCCATTCTTTACGCTTCACAGGGGAGAATGTACAAAGAGCTGCTTAATCTCTTTCAGTTCAGCTCTTTAATTCTCATGGGTATCCAGTTGCAAGGTATCTGTATCAGTCTGAGTTCTCAGCTGTGCATCGAACTGTTGGCTCTTGTTTTAACATGCTGTTTCAGAGCTGACCAGGTTTCAGCATGAACATGTGAGGGCTGCTGTGCCTAAATGCATTTGATGTTGGCAGAGGAGCAGCATCACAGATCCAGCAGTGCTGGCTCTGGTGATGAAATGCCAAGTAAGCACTTTCACCGTGCCAGGCTCATCTCAACGCTGACGTTTGCCATCCAGAAGGAAGCAAGCTGTACAACTAAAGGAGGCACGGCACCAAGGAAGATTTGAATGCTTCGTGATTGGTTTCCCAAATAATTATGTCATTTGCTTCTAACAGAGGCTAGCTTGCAATTCAAGTATTATATGGTTTTCTCAAGTGCAAATTACAATTAAGGAATCAGAAGGCAAGATGCAAACCATACTAAAGGATCAGCTGAAAAAAATGGTGAAATCAGACAGATTAATTTTCATTTAATTTCCTCTCACTATTGCCAGTCTCAAATGCAAAGTGAAAAAAAGAACATAAACATATTTATAGCTAATGCAATAAATTAACACCTGTATGCTATATTAATGTGTGAAAATTGCTAAATTAAAATACTAAATTAAAATGCTATATTTGGCTCAGTCACTTAGCAACAGCTGCATCAGTTTAAGACATTTCCATTCTGCAGCTGTTAGCTGGTACCTCAGGCTGGAGCTCCCATAGAATCAAACAGGTTTGACTTGGAAGTGACCTTAAAGCTCACCTTGTTCCAGCCCCCCTACCATGGGCAGGGACACCTTCAACTACAGCAAGTTGCTCAAAGCCCCATCCAACCTGGCTTTGAACACTTCCAGGGCTGGGGCAGCCACAGCTTCCCAGGCAATGTGTGATGGTGCTTTACCACCCTCACAGGGAATAATTTCTTCCCAGTATCTAATATAAATGTACCCTCTTTCAGTTTAAAGCCATTTTCTCTTGTCCTCTGACTTCATGCCCTTGTCAAAAATCCCTCTCCAGCTCTCCAGGTCTCTTGTAGCCACTTTAGGCACTGGAAGGTGCCCTTCCAGGAGACTGGAAAGTCTTCCCAGAGACTTCTCTCCCCCTGGCTGAACAACCCCAATTCTCTCAGCTTGTCTTCACAGCAGAGGTGCTCCAATCGCCTGATAAATTTTGCACCACTAGTCAGATCCATGTCCTCTCCATGCTGAGGATCCCAGAGCTGGATTCAACACTGCAGGTGGGGCTTCACAAGAGCAGAGGGGCAGAATCCCTTCCCTCACCCTGCTGCCTGCACTGCTGTGGATACAGCCCAGGACATGGTTGGGCTGTGAGTATTGCTGGGTCATGTCCAGCACTCCCAAGTCTTTTTCTCAGAGCTGCAATCAATCCATTAATTGTCTAATGTATTGATACCAGGTGTTGCCCCAATTCACATGAAGAATCTTGCACTTGGCTTTTTTAACCTCATGAAGCTCTCACAGACCCACTTCTCGAGCTTGTCCAGGTCCCTCTGGATGCCATCCCATCCTCCAGGTGCATCAGCTGCACCACACATCTTTGTCTCATCTGCAGACTTGATGAGGGTGCACTCATCCCTCCACCAAAGTCAGCAGAAGGAAATGCATGCCTGCATTTTGCCTGCTCCTCTCCAAAACCAAGTGTCTTAATTCAGATACCTCTTTATCAACTATCTACTTGTTTGGTTTTGTCATCAGGCAGAAATCTCAGCACCTATTGACTCTCACAGCTGTGAGGTGAAGCAGTACCCCACACCAGAGGGGCAGAATGAGCAGCCACATCTTAAACTGCCACAGCAATAATCACCAGAGTGTACCCAGCAGTGCCTGAAGGGAAGATTAAAGTAGAATTGCGAAAAAACATGAAAGTGCCCAAGGAAATAATCACAAGAAAAATTGCTACAGGAATTTTGTCACAGTGCAACAAGCTATTTAGAAATTGCTATGCCAAAAAAAAAAGGAGCATAAGGGTTAGAAGACACCCCAGGGAAAAGGGACATCTAGTCTTGGTCCAAGCTATCTTGACTACTTAACTACAATGCTGTGGTTTATTTACTTGTTTCCTGATGTGACTGTGAGTGCTGTGATGTGTGTTCAGGACAGTTCTGTGCCCTGTGAGGCAGGTGTGCCTGGGGTACTTCCAGATCACAACCCTCAGTGGATGCAATAAAGGAATATAAATGTAAAGGAATTCCTATTCTGAGGATCATGGGTATGAAGAACTAAGATCAACACAGGAGCTGAACTGCTCACCAAGAAAAATTCAGAAAGCAAGAAACTTTGCCAGCCAGAAAGAAATCACTTGGTCTGGCGATCTTCAAGAACAATGCTTTTGAACCTATACACCTAAGTTCCAATAAAATAATGCTTCAAAATTAATATTTTGATCCTTTGATATTCCTGCCAGAGTACACCACCAGAATAAACAAATCCAATAAGTTACATTCATAGAAAGATCAGATCTGTGGGATGGTGCTTACATTTACTTGTTCAAGTGGATCAAATAAGTTTCTCTCTAGGAGCTGCAGCATCTCCAGCTTCACTGAATGCCCTTGGGCAGGGCATAGTGGTGTATCTGGAGCAAGGGGGTACCAGGTATCACCAGGTTTCATCTGCTATCCATCAGGCTGGAACTCCCTCAAGCACAGGGATGCTTTCTCCCATGCTTTCCTTTGGCAAGGAGAACTACACAAAATCCACAAGAATAGCACTGCAGCCTCCATAATAAAATTTAAGACAAGGATGATGCCATCATGCTCAGCCACAAAGAAGCAATTTGTATGCTGGAAATGCTGCTTGTTTTATTAATCATCCTGATTTTTAATTGTGTTGTCTTTCTTCATGAACAGGAAAAGACAGGCAACAGCTATCTGCTCTTAGCCTGTGTATAATCTGCACAGTCACCAGGGATGCCACAATCTTTGGCTGATGCATTTCAGTTTTAAAAACTAAGCAGACAAAACATGTACCCAGCCTAGGCCATACAGTCATTAAAATCCCACTAAATGTCCATACGTGAAAATCATACCTGGACCACATCTTATACAGACCAAGATCAAGGCCTTAATCTGATTTTTTTTATCAGCACCCACAACAGCAAGGCCATGGCTTGTAGGCACCACCATAACACTAATTATGAGTAATCATTTCCAACCTAAATGATCCGGTAATAATTTTTCAGGCCTGAACTCACAGCTCCAGCATGACACACACACACATCCAAACCACCCACTGGTACTGCAAAAAGCAGGAGTTACTGTGCTTATTTATTTATTTCCACTGGGAGCAGCACATCCTTTGCAGAAATGGAGGAAAACCATCCAACATTGCAGATACATGACTAATCTCTGTAACAAACAGGCAGTGAAAATATACCCAGGAGAACAACCTAATAAGCTGAGTGGGCCAAATCCTCCTCTGCTCAATATCCTTGATAGTCATTTATATTATGCCAGGGAGTAGGATAACAAGAGTTCATCACCTCTGTCTTGTTCTGCACCATGTACATATACAAATTGGAGCTATTAAAAAAAATTATCTTCAGCTTATATGCTACTATATTCAAACCACTAGTAAGTCCACTTAAGTTTTTGTTAGCCTAAGTAGGAATTGCATGTGGTTCCTTCCTACTAAAGGAGCTAAATTTCCTTCAGCAGATGGTCCTCAGGCTTAATAAGTAAATCTAGAACTGAAGATTTGTGTTGAAAGATGAAAAAGAAGTAAGCAGGTTGCTATTATTAAACAAATTCCAATCAGAGATTGCCAGCGCTTATATCTTTTCCTGATTTTCTTTCCAAAACCCTGGAAGGTAATGTAATGACCAAGAAGATCACAAAAACAGTAGGTTACAAGATTTACTTAGTAAGGGAAAATAAACTGAAATGCATTACCTGAAGTGCTTTTAAAAAATAGAACAACTCAGCAAGCAACCCAAGTTCTCAAAACCTATATAGAAAGTTCTCTACTTCCAAAGTGTTCCCCTTCTTCATCCTTCTAGGTCTCTTTTGGTTTGGTTTTATTTTAACAGCACAATTGTTTGAAGGTATTCAGGATGAGCAGAAATGCAGCTGAAATTATTTCTTTGCATGATGTGAGGAATGAGAGATTGCTCTTTTAACTCCACTCTGCAAACTGCTTCCAAAACCAGTTAATTAAGTCTTGGTCTACTTTATAAAACAGTAGAAAAAAGATGTTTTGTAGGTTTACAGACAGTATACTGAGCAGAATTTTCACTTGCCAAGGACTTACCAGCAGACCATGTCAAGCACACAGTCACAGACAATTTTATACATCCTAATAAGCCAAAAAAACCCCCTGTGCACAGCCTACACAAATGCAATGACAACACCCTGACAGCTGCTAGTTGTCAACCCAGACAGAGCTTGGCAAAAACAGAGTGGGGTTCGCCCCTTTTGCTGTTTACCTGCATATTTTCCATTAATCTTTCCTTCATGAGCTGTTAGTTTAAAACAGGCAGTATGGCACAAACCAACCAGTTTAACAAGCTCACAGGATGCAATAATGCAAAATCCCAAATAAGTAGGAAACTTTGACCTCACCTGTTTATGTCACCCTTCTTACCCTTATACTCACTTTCACCTGTTTATCTCAGTTATGTTTGTGGCAATACACCAACTACTTCACTGAGGTCCCAAGAGATCCCATTTTCCTTGTCAAAAATCAGTTATTTCACAAAATAAACATACTCTTGTTGTGATGCTATCTATTTTGGTTAACTCCTTTTACTTCTTACCTGATCTCCATTTGTTTCTAAATTCTCCAGATTCATTGTAAAGCCTCTGCTTCCATCAAGGCCAGCTTAGTTCTCCTGAGAGGTTTACGGGCTAAGCTGCAGTTTGCTGGTTGCTCTGCAGGATGGCCAACAAAGAAATAGCATGTTTGGGACTTCTGCTCCACAGAAATTTGGGGTTTCTTTAAAGTAATTTGCCTTTTTGCTTGCAATGCAATTCCAAAGAAAGCATTATATAGCAATGAAGTCACAACGCCAAAGTGCTGTTTACACTTTGATTGCAAGGGAACTGTTTTGGTAGCTATGCCCACTATTTTTGTTTGCTGTGGTGTCACCTTCTGTGGTAGAGAGGGACATCATTAGAAATAGCTACACCAGCACTTCTCCCTTGTCTCACAAAGTAATCATACAAAGTGTGATTGCTGGTATTTACTGAAGATCAAAAGAAGGCAGCTGATGAAACCAAAGTTTGTCTGAGCTCATGAGATTACTTTTCTTATTATTCCAATTGGAATGGAAAGTTTTGGTCCTGCAGTTCATCCACATGCCTTCAATCTGAGCCAAATTCTCCTGTCAGTCCCATGTTGCCACACATATTAGACCAGAGTCCTTCCAGGTGTAAGCCTACAGACTTTCATGCAATCAAATCACAACATATTTAGCCTAGTGCTATCTATTTTTTCTTTTCAAAAAATCTTTTATCCAGACTTCTAGGATGCTGCAGAAAGCAAAGTGTATCACAAAACCTCCCTGTATTAAACATACCAAATATGTTTAAAGATGAAGGGTGAAACAGAGCTGCCAAAGAATGCACTGACCTCCAAGATCTGCACCAGGAGACCCAAAGATAGCTGGAGCAGAACTACAGCTGGCATTCAGAGGGACTGAGCTCCTCAGACAAGGTCCCTGACCTGAGAAAGCCCAATTCCCACAGCCCAGTCAAAGGGGACTGCTGGATGAAGAACAAGACAGACAGACTGTCCCTGATGGCCTGCCTGCCTGAGGCAAGGAGTGACACTCACTGAAGCATTTGCAGGGAAGACAATTCTACCTAGTTCACGTGCTACAAAACCAAGCAGCTTATCTAATACTGTAGGAAATGCATAGAAGCCAGAATCTTTCACAGTCACTACTGCATGCACAAGTCACTTTGAGCTCTGTGGGAAGGAAAAGAATTGGTGTCTTCAAAACCACAAGCACTTACAACAAAACAAAATTACAATCTCTATTGTTTGTTGACAGCGCTCAGCCTGAAACATCTAGCTGGGGAGCTCTAAGCATTGAGGTTTAAAGATTTTAAAAGGTTTTATATTAAAAATTATTACTAAACATCTTTATCAGCACAGAATTTAGAGTTCTAAGGTGGTAACAAAGGACAGCAAAGATTGTGCAAAGGGAACATGTCTCCAGTTCAAAAAAGCACGTGGTCTAAGTAGACAAATCAGGTGTACTAGTATACTACACACTGCTATTTGTGCTCCCAGCCAAAGCTCATACATCTCAGTTTTTTCAAATGTAGCCCAAGACAGCAGTAACTGAAAAATCTGGGCTTCTGACAGCTCTTCTGTGTTGTGACTGCAAAGCCTTGGAATCCTTGCCTAGGGCTTCCAGGCTCTACCTCTATACAAACAATACACAATGTTAATTAAATGCACAAAAAGGAGGCTGAAAAAACACTAATGAAATTTGCAAATCTAAGCATTTGAAGGCTGCAAAATGCCAAAGTGAATGTGAGCTGCACCACCTTAATTATTGCCCTTAGCATATATTCCTTATGGTGGATTTTAATTACCTGAGTTGGTGCTGGTTTTCCACAGGTCCCAGCTTCCTCATTTAGTTCAAAAAAGAACACTTACTCAAGAGGAGATTGATGTAATTTGTCTTTAGGCACCAAGTTTATGCAATCTGAGTCTTAAGTAAGCTGAGTCTCCTTTGGAAATACAGAGCTTACCACAATGAACTTACAAAACCATAATTTAGATATCTTATAGATATGTCAGTAATCCACCTTTTAAAGCAACAGCAGCTCAATTCCTGTTTCCCCCTCAATTTCTTGCATGTTCCAAAGCTATATTCACTGTAAGCTGGCCAAAACTGAAGAGGGAAAATATTACTTTATTCTATAATTTTCTATGACTTTCGTCATGATAGAACCTCAGCAGTTCTTCCATATTTTTATAATATCCTAGAAGATAGAGGAGATAATCTCTCCAGTCCTATAGGGAATATCTCTTGCTCAGTCTCAGTTTCTCACTTCCCATACATCCTGTCATTTCTGTTTTGTTTGTCCAATATATTTGTCCCCACACACATCAAACTGTTTGGGTAAATCTTTCTCTACTCCCACACAGCCAATCCAACACCTTCATAAGGCCAGTCCTAGTTTCCTGTTTATGTCCCCTCTCTCCCATTTTCTCATCCAACCTCTGTCATTCTCCCACCCACTGTTTTATTTTACTGTTGAAATTTAGCACAACTCCTCAGAACATGAGAAGTGAGATTCTTTTTTAAAGGCTCCTGACTTGGCCAAATTTAGGTCAATTTTCACAGGCACAAGAAGTGCAGACCTGACATATAGCCCACCCTCTTGCCAAACAAAAAAAAAGCAAAAAAAACCCAAAAAATAAACCTGCCAAAATCAAACAAATAACAAAATAACTACCCCACAAAAGCATCTGGATTTCTAAGATAATTTAACACTGAAAAACAACTTATTCTTCCCTTTTCATACTAGGAAGCTGTAAACATCTCTGGCTGAAATTTCAGGGGGAGGTAGGGATGAGTCAGCCCAAAACAGACCCCTGGCTGAAAAGCATCAGAGTTAATTAAAACTAAATAGACAGTCTCAAACAGAGGCATGATTACAAGTCATTAAAGGAAATTGACTATTTTTTTGCAAGTTATGCTTTTTTGTGGTGTCCATATGAGCTGGTAATATATCAGTCACATTTCTGAAGAAATTTGCAAAGTTACAGTCTACTGACTCTTAACATCAGTTCATTAGATTCATCTCAGATTGTAAACACTGAGGGAATTAGGTTTTTACATATTCTTATTAAATGCTTCACCCAATGGGATCCATGTAAATTATTATGTTTTGAATATGTTTTGTTTTAAATGCATTGCATCCTTTAGTGTACAAAAGGCTACCTTTGTTTTTTTCTCCATACTCCCTTTTCATTAGAAACAGTAGGATTCAATTTCCACGTAGTATTACCAAGTTTAGTTCCCTGGTTCATTATAAGTCTGTGTCTTGAAATCTTAAGCATTTATTATCCTTGTTATTGGTGGTTTACCAGCTGGAGATGATGGAATTGGTCTGGAGTGAGCACATTTGCAAATGCTGATGCAGAATCCTACATAACCAAGATTTCTTTTAAGCCCTGGCTTATTAAGAAAGGGTCAGGCTCTGTCTTTTTAAGGTACATTTACTTGTGAAAGTAAACATATGTCTTTCTCACTTTCCTGACCTTCAGTTTCAGTTTTGCTCTTGCATGCAAGTCAGTTTTCCCCTGTCCGATTTGGGTCCAATTTCACTTTCAGAGATCGGGCTGAAGATCCTGCTGAGAGCAGACTGGGAGAGACATTGCATTACTGAAATCCTCTGTTTGATCCTCAGCTTAATTAAAACCCCTCTTCCTGTTTATGTTTATTGTTTAGACAAATTACACAGGGTCAGTGGTGCTCTGGCACAGCCTAACAAACCCTGATGTAATTGGCAACTTGACTTTGGCTTTTCTTTAAGATTACTTCCCAGGTCTCTTAGAGGTTGTTGTATCTCAGCAAGGAGAAGTACTACTGACAGTAAATGAGCCTGCACATTTTTCAGCTGTTTTTCTCAGAACGTAATTGATAACATGACTGGAACGGAATCTTTGAATCTTGAATTTGTGCTCTCTGCGACTAGAAGCATGGGAATCAAAGATGAAAATAAATGTGTTTGGATTCTGGCTTAGCAATGATCACTTACTTCACATTTCACACATCATTCCATTTGTTCCTGTGTCAATATTGTTTCTGACATTGAACAGGTCATCTCTCTGTGGAGCTTCTTCCATGTATTCTGAAACAGCAACAAGAGACATTTCAAGATTTGCCTTCATCTAGGCACATCTTACAGCTGGTCTACAGTATACTGGCAGCTGGCAACTGAATCCAGATGTTTTACCTCTACTCTTTCTGCAAATCTCCTGTCTTCTATCAGATTTTTTTTCCTTAGTCCCCAGTACATGACCATATGATTTCTATTACTCCAGTCCTCAAGGTTATGCAGGCTTCCTACATGATGTTCCAGTTCTTCTTTGTTTTGATTTTTTCTACCAATTTTATGTCATTGCTAAATTTAATTAGCAAATTTTCTCTTGCCTGAAAATTAGCCCTGAAAATATTGTTGATTTATTGCTTTTATAGGTTTTTGTTTGTATAGTATCACTGTTCTCTTGACATGCCTATAAAAACATTTCTCTTTATTGGATCTAAGTGGTTATCTAAGTAGTTAGCACAGTTGTTACTTTTTCTATAAACTTTAAAAGTGTCATTTTTCATGGTTACTTGGCCCCTAGGTGGACTGGGAAATTGTTACGGCACTTCAGTCCAATTCCTCAATAATATGGTAACTAAAATGAAACTATTTAATTTGTGAAGTTCAGAAATATTAGCCACCGAGAAGAAAGGCATCTGTTCATGGTTCTCAGGACTATTTTTCCAAGAACCCTGGAAACACATTTCAGTCACATATTGAATTGTTTTTTGAAATTCTGCAGGCTAGAAATCAAAGAAGGTGGGAGAAAACGGGTGTTTATAACAAAAGCTTCAATTCTGGGAAACCAGTGTCATTACAGAAAATTAGCAGTTGTCTGTGGTTATGCACTGGCTGAATCTGACCCTAGGGGACATGGAAGTCAGGCTTGAGAGACTTCAGTGTGGCACTTTTCAACAGGTTAAAACTCATAGAAAAGTAGAATAGCTGAGAAGCAGCAGGCTTGACATAATACTTGTTTCTAAGATCTGCTGTCACAGTGTTAATCTTCAAGTTATGTCTTATTATCTGTCTTGAAGTATGATGTCTAACATTTTACTGAGGAAAAAGGGTCTCTTGATACTCAGTGCCCTCATCTCGCCCTGATGAAAACTTTCAAAGCTCCAGTTGATTCAAATTGGGCTCAGCATGTCCACAGCAAATAGCAAACCCATTGCTATCTTTTTAGGCCCAGAACACCCCAGCAGGAGCAGTTGAAGACAAAGAAAACCCAACAAAATCATAGCAAGTCCCCTGAGCAAGGCTTGCTCAGGGGATTTGTGGTGCTCTACACACAAGAATTCTGTTACACTTTAAGGTGTCACAGTTCTTGGGTTTACTAATAATTTGAAGTGGCTCGAGGGAGTATCTGTCAAGGGTGCTGATAATTTGATTTTGTGATCAAGTTTAAAACCTGGGAGTCAGGAGGCTCCACATAATCCACAGCCTACCTGTCATCTCAGAAAAGGCATTTAACAATCTGATGATTGTTAAATAAGCAATGTTTCACTGCATCTTGTAATAATGCTGTGAAACACACTTTTTAATGCTCATGTAACATTCCAATATCACTGTTCTTTCTAATGAATTGTATTACATGAGGGATTGAGATCCCATCTGAGATGTGACTGCATGCCACTTGGCAATGATGATCCATACACCCAAGTGTTGACAGTGACAGTTGACAAGTAGAAGGCTGCAGACAGGCTCAGCTGGATTCAAAACAAGTCCACAACACATGGTTATGCAATAAGGATTAGACTGCACATCTCTTGACTAGCATGCATGTTTTGCTACCAGATTACCTCATCTCTCACAAATGAATTATGACTTCTTTATGGAAGGAATACCACTCAACACTTCTTCTTATACTGCAAAAAAAAAAAAAAAAATACATGGATTGAAATATAAAATATAAGAAACAAAATAATCCCCCATAGGAAAAAAAATACTGTATCTGCTTGAGTAAATTGAAAGAAACCCAGTTGTGTTCAACTTTATCAAACTTTCAAAGCAATTGTGTGAATGCAATGATAAACAAGCATGAGGTGTCTCCTAGTACTAGAAGCAGCTTCACTGGTCAGTCACTCAAAATGATCTTCCTGTCTGACACTGAAGTTCTCCTTTGCTTCAGCTTCATGGCATCAAGAATAGACAGTGAACAAATGCACCTTATCAACAGGAATTCCAGCAAAGACAAAAAAATAAAGCTTACAAAATGCTCTCTCTGAAGGAAACAATAATGGACATGGGCATGGTACAGTCAAGGTGAAGGTGCAAGCATAAAAACAGGCATAAATCAGTCATGCTCCTTTTCCACAGTTCCACACTCTTTCCTTTGGCAGACCAGTGGCAGGCAACATCAGAGCCAGCTAAAAGTTGTGATCTTTCTCTTTATATCTGGTTCTTCACTCACCTTTGGTCAAGCTTGCTGCTGCAGCTGTTTGGTTCAAATCCTTCTAAGATGGGCTACCTCCTTCTCTCAAAAACTTTCATCACCTGTTCATAAAGAAAAGCAGAGCTCCCTTTTGCTCTCTGAACTACTGCTATTGTACTTTCAGGACTGTAAGCAACACATGAGTCATTATCAGTAACACCTGAGAGAGGGAGAACAAAAGAACTCGCTTTCCCACAAAGAAATTTCTGGAACGCTTGCTAACACTTTTTTAATAAATGCTTTCATACATGTTGAGGGACTGTGATGTCTGATTACTGGTTCAGAAGGACACTTGGCAGGTGTGCACCAACATCACAGAGAGAGATGATTTACACTTGAATACACAGTTTACCTACAATCAAACTCGGATCCAAGGTGCTTTGGCAGCAAGTGCAAAAGGGAGCACTACTAGCACAAGCCCTCCTGCACACACAGTACAGTGAATGCCACCCACAACGCAGATACATGAAGGAGAAAGACAAAATTGAGTGTGAACCAGGTTGAAAAGTTTCCAAAGAGTGTAAATACGGTGTGCTAAAAAGACTGCTGGATTTCAAGCCTCTAGCCCAGCCTTGCAAAACACAAAGACATACTAAATATATTTTAGTGCTACATGAGACAATACAGTCCCTAGAAACTGTATTGGTACAAAAATATTAATTGGAGTTACTGTAAATCACAGTGGCAATTTATTTGTTGGTTTTCACAGTACTTCGTAGAGAGAAAGCTAAATATGAGTGAGAGCAAACAGAATTCAGTAATGGATCGTTCTTTACAAGTTCAGCAAAACATTACACATTTCTTTTTCCTGGAAACAAACACAGGTAAAAAGAAAGCAAAACAATGATAATTTTTGTTGATCTATGGCACTATGCATATTAAATAGAAGCAGAGATTTCAGTTGGTTCTTTTGGAGATTGTAGTCCTAAATATACTTGAAAATTAGTCATTTCAGCTCATGGCCTTCTACTGATTTTTCAGCATTTACAGTTCTTAAAATATGGTTCTATGTTACCTCATACAATCAAATAAAGTATGTTCATAAGCAACTTGAAAATTCTTTTGAAAGTTGGGTGTAGCAGACATATTGAGACTAAAAGCATTCACTTGATGGACTCCCTGTTCAATACAGGACCTTGTTTTAAGGCAAGCAATTTGATTCTGGAACAAGCTTCAAACAGATGGAAAGCAACAGCAACATGATGGGAACAAAAGATGAAGGACTACACACTGTGCAATTTTTGATAGTGAAGTGTCACTTCACTATCACGAAAGGGCTATGGCAGCTAACAGCAACACTTAAGAAAGGCAAAGCTAAGGATTTTTTTATATTACATAATCCATAAGAGGGGCTGAAAAAAACAAACTAAAAAAGAGAAATAGCCTTGACAAACCAGAACCTCTAAAAAATGTGAAGCTTCTCTGCCTTTAGCTTTTTAAACTTTTATCCTTCTTGACTAGAGTGGATTTAGTGGGCCCTTGCAAACCTCATGAAGTTCAACAAAGCCAAGTTCAAGGTCCTGCATATGAGTCAGGGCATTCCCAAGTAATGATTTTATCTATACTAATTTGTATATGTCTTGTTACCTCAGAGATTATGAACATCAGGTGATTTAGAAATTTCCTTTTTCCATCATTCACCTCATAAAATAACATTGCTTGTTACACTTACAGGAAAAAAAATACAAGTCCTTCCCATCAAAGTCCTTCCCATTTGTTTCCCATTATCAGAAAACAAAAATCAATGGTCTACTAAGTCAGGGGTAGAGATGCAAGGTGGCCAGTCATGCTGAAGAGCAAATAAACTTTCTGGCCCTTTTGTATGAGGCAGTAACCTTTGGAGGCACAGTAGGGAAACAGATGGAAGCAAGGTCCCTTCAGTTCCTGGTGTCTAAACCAAACAGAGTTTGCAAAAACAGATTTTTCAGTCCAGTAGCCAGGCCTAGTCACTGTGATTACACTAACATTAGTAAATTAAACATGTCTGGGACCAGTCTCTGCCCCTGAGGCCAGCTGGCACGGGACATCCAATGCCCAGTCCATGAAAGCAGTCTCCCTATTTGTAATGTATCCCCTAACCCACACCCTGAAATATTTTGGGATACTCATTGGCCCAGGCTAAAACCATGTAAGGATTATGAGAATCAGTAGAAACAGCTGAGTTTGGTGCTCAGGAACATCCCTGATGCTGTTTGATTTGCTGGTATCAGCAGAGCTTTTAGAGTCTCTACAACTTCCATACTTTGATCTGTGCCAATGCCCTCACCAAGTCCTCATGGCAAAAGCCCTCACAGGCAGTGGCATTTCTTGCCCTGAAATCAAAGGCTCCCAGGTGTATTGTCTAAGAGCTCAGACTCCTGTGTACAGAACAATTCTCCTGCTGCTGTGATCCCTGGCTCTTCCCTACTGCCCCTGCACTGGGATCTCTCTCTGCACACCAGAGCTGCTCTCTGGTGCAAATCCTGCCTCTGGCATCCAACTGCTGTGAAATGTAGCCAGAAAGGGGAAATGTCCCAAACCTCCATAGCTGTTTGCTAAGAAAAGCTGTCCTGAAGATGTGCCTGAGCTTGCCAGGGCCTGCTCAACAAGGATTTTCAGTTTCGAGGCACTATGACTACTTTTACTTTCTGCATTTCCAATACACCTTTAAATGTCAGACTAATTTGGGGGGAAATCAGCTGAACCACTGCAGAGAAAACAGGGCGCACAGATTCCCTAGTTTATTGTTACTTGACCTACAGATTCAGCTCCTCTGCAATTATTCATTAGCATTAATGTGGATAGAAGTGTTTGCCAGCTTTTTCCAGCATGATAATGCCCAATTTCACCCCTGCAAAACCCATCCAAGAATTCTTGGCATGTTGACACCCCCTGAATGACTCAGCCTGCCATAGAAAAAGGAAGTAGGTATGGGAATTTTAGGAAGGAAAGGGGCTGAAACCATACACACACCTAAGAACAGTTAACTGCACTTAGAAAAAGCAGGAAATACAAGGGCTTGGGCAAAGAAGGAAAGGAGGAATACAAATAAATAGGAAGGAAAATACAAAGACTGATTTGCATGGTAGGGAACATGGGAGGAAAGGATGTGGAGGGATTCTGAAATGAGGAGAAAAGAAAATGGGACAAATCAGACAAAAGGGAAATTATATATGTCCTGGTATAGAGCAGGCAGGAGCATGAGGGAATCCTGTTGAGGGAGGAGAGCATACACAAGGACAGCCTGGAATGAGACAGAGCCACCAATGCCACCAAGAAGAAACTGATGAGCCTAACTAATTCAGCACCAAAAAACTATATGTTGTCAAGTGTATTTTAAGAGACATTTCAGGTTTGAACACTCATTTTTACAAATTACAAAATTAAGGGCTTGAACTTATACACAGGAGATCTACTATTCTCATCTCCTTGCGGCAAAATACAAAATAAAGCTCCTACAGGAGCACACCAAAAGCAATTGTTTGGGATGGCACTACCCTCTAGTGGTCAAAAAATAGTTATATGTACACCTGGAAGGAAAATATTCACAGCTGGTCATACAGACAACTAAAAGATACAATCGATTCCAATCCACACTCCAGTAATCCACCTCGAGACCGTGCTGGTAAATCAAACATCTTATTAGTCTGTTTTAAAATTACAAATTCATGACTGGTCATACACACAAGTAACTGTCCAAGGCTCTGAAAGAGACCGGGGTGTTTTTCTCCCACATCACATCTACAGAACATCATTGCTGGAAAAGCAGTTGTTTCAATGCATAGTTTTCATGGAGGTGTTTTGAGACTTATGTAATGACAACACAGTCATGTCTCCTGCCTTGCCTCACTCAGGTTTTTTTGACATCTAATCTTGTACGTACAGTAAAAGCCAAATGCTAACTGTTCTGTCATTTTGTCCTTTCCTCTCTTTATATCATCATTGTTCAACTGCTGTGTTTCCCCTCTCCGGTTAAAAACAACCCTGTTTCTCAAAGCCAGTGCACCTTCCAAATACTCTTTTATAAGCAGACTTCTTAAGCCCAGATGCCTCAATCTTCCTACATTTCAGGAAATGAGGAAGAGCTTGTCATGTCACTCCCTTCTAGAGAAACAATTCTGTATGTTTCAACTTTGATCTTTTTGTTAGGTTGACCTTCAAGTAAAAGCTCCTTGGAAGTAATAGATTTGTGTACTACCTCCTTGCGGACATTGATCGGGCAAAAGTCATTCCTGCGAGGTCTCATATACTGTCATTGATGCCACCTTGTGGCAAAACTGCTGGATATTGGAATTCTGGAAAAACGTTCAGCATTCGCCCCTCCTTGCAGGTGCATGGAATAGCAGCGCAGTGGTTACTGCTGCTTGCAGTGCTTCAGTTATAGAGTTCATAAAATCAGTATTTGGACACTCCTAAAAACACATCGCCAGTCAGTAACAGAGAGGAGGAAAAGTAGGAAGAAACACCAACAAGACACATTTATTTTTGTTTTATTAGGGGGAAAACTAAACCAGTATACCCAATGACACATGGCACAACCATTCACGTGCTCAGAGCTTGGGCATCTTTTTGTCTTTTCCCACCAGAAAAAAACTCTGGCAAGAGGTACAACCGACTCCAAATACCGTAAAATAGCATTGCAGGGAGAGACTGAAGGAAAACTCAGCCCCAGCCTAACAGGACAGGATGCATGTCCCAATTACCTCATGCTGGATTTACCCTTCTCAGGTCCAAAGAATTATTCTAAAGGAGCCATGTCTATTTTTCCAGGACAATCTTGATGCCATTTGGGCCCTGCTATGAATGCCAGTGTTACCACATTGAGCAGAATGAGGCTGATGCCTATTTTTAGCATTGCTTCCACTGGAGAAGCCCAAGAATCAGCACCTGCTTCCTCTGGGCACTGTGTCAAACACCCTTCTACCAGCAAGCAAGTGGGAGGGAGAGGCTGAATCAATCTGTGCACCTGCTTTTTCCACCACCAGGTTCCCAAAAATACAGCGAAGAAACCCCCTCTTGTTACAAAATGTGGTAAATGTAAAATTTTTCTTAAGAAAGGATGTTCCTTAATGTTTGATCTTTGTATATTTCAAGCCTGGTCAAAAGAAAGGACATTTTATCCATGAAACAGAGTAGCCAACAAGCGCTAAGTGATGCTCAGGGGTTAGAAACACAAATTAATTTTCAGTAAAATTGCCTTGTAAAGGTTTAGAGCGTAACATGCTTCCATGCCTTCAGACCTAGGGGGAGCTTGAGAAGAAGGATACACTGCTGATAGTGGACACAACACAGAATTTACAGGCCACAAGGACATTTAGGAGAGCTCACAAGATAAGGAAGAAACTAATAAAAACAACTCAGCAATTGTGCTGAATCAGCTCCAATTGGGTAAAAGGTAATCCTCACCACCAACCCACGAAAAAAAAAAGATTAATGCTAAGCTGCAGACTAATTAGCATGAGAACTGAGGGAACATTAACCAATAGAAGATAGAGTACTAATAAATAAGAGAACTATGCAACTTGTAGTCGGTGAACAAGTCTTATGAGGAGTGGCTGAAGGTGCTGGAGGTGCTTAGTATGGGGTAGAGGAGGTTCAGGGGGGGCCTTATCTCTCTACAGCTCCCTGAAAGAAGACTGTAGCCAGGTGGGGGTCGGTCTCTTCTTCCAGGTAACAAGTGAGAGGATGAGAGGGCAAGGCTTTAGCTGTGTCAAGGGAAGTTTAGGCTGGAAGAATTTCTTCACAGAAGAGGCGATTAGACATTGGAATGCCCAGGGAGGTGGTGGAGTCACTGCTCCTGGAGGTGTTTAAGGAAAGACTGGATGTGGCACTCAGTGCCATGGTCTGTTGACATGGTGGTGTTCGATCACAGGCTGGACTTCACGTCATGTTAGAGGTCTTTTCTAACCTAATTGTTTCAGTGATTCTGTAATTCCTGTGTGTGCCACAACGTGTAAATAGTAAAAAAAGTTCTGATAGTCGGCGGGCTCCTTTCGCTGACGGCCACCGAGCACGCAGGCTTGCGCAACCCTGACTACATAAGCAGCGCTTGGCTCTGGGGCTCGCCGCAGGCCGCGGGGCGATCCCCGGGCCGCGCTCCCCCGGCCCGCCGCGGCCGCTCCCTCAGCGCCCCGCGCGCCCGCCGCATGCGCGCTGCGCAGCGCAGCGCCCGCCGAGGGGCGGCGCGGCCGAGCCCGTGCCCGGCTCCGCGCTGGGCTGGGGCCGCTCCCGCGGCCGCGGGCACGCCGCAACGCCGACCCCGCCGGGGAAACCGGCTCCGCTCCCCCGCGGCCGGGAGCCGAGGCCCTCCCTCCGCTCCCTGTCCGGCAGGCTGAGGGGACGAGGGAGCCCGTCCGTCCCGCGGCGGAGGGGCTGAGGGGGCAGCAGAGCCGCCTTGCCCCCGCTCCCCTGCCCGTGCTTTTCCACCCCTGGGAGAGAGCTGCCCTGTCCTACCCGTGCCCTGCAGGAAGCGGGATCCCCCTGCGCTCACCCCTGCCCTTTGCTCCGCCGGGCGGAGGGTGAGTCAGGCTCCTGGCAGGTGCCGACAGAAGCTGGTTCCTGCTTCCAAGGGAAAGCGGGGGCATTTCGCCTCCCTCTCCTGCTCGCTCTCTCCCCGCAGGTGGTGGGGCCGGACCTTCCGCGAGCGCTCGGGCCTGTGAGCTCCGGGCATGGCTGTCGGTGGGCTCGGCAGCTCCCTGCTGCTGATGTCCGGCGTCGTGGTGAGCGTGGGGCTGTGCCGGAGGCTGGCCCGGCGCCGGCTGCGCTCCCGCCCGCTCCTCTTCGCTTTCCTCCTGGAGATGTTCAGCACCTTCCAGGTTTGCGCCTGCACCAACGAGCTCAGCCTGCTCGGCGACGTGGAGCCGAAGCCGCACACCGCCCTCACGCTCACCTACGGCTTCACCGTCCTGCACGGCCTGACCCTCGCCGGCAGCACATGCAATCCCTGCGGGACCCTGCAGCCCATGTGGGGCGGCGGCACGTCGCTCGGCATGGGGGGACTCAAGATCGCCGCTCAGTTCGTGGCTGCGGTGCTCGCCAGAGTGTTCATGCACTTTATCTGGAGTCTGGAGATGGCAGAGCCACATCTTGGAGCGCTCTCACAGGGCTGCAGCAGCCCCATGCAGACTACAGAGATGCAGGCGTTCTGCATAGAACTGCTCTTTTCTGTCGTTTTCCAGCTGGCCGTCCTGCGAGCCGAAAGCGTTAATCCCAAATACAGAGTCCATTTAATTGCTCTTCTCATCACCATGCTCGTGTATGCAGGTTAGCCTTTTTACTTTTTCTTCTTCTGTTCCTGCAATAAACTTGTAACGGAAGGGGTTCTTACTGTTTTCTTAGAAGTGTTAAGATGCAAACTGCTTTTTCTTAAATTACACTTTCCTTGATGATTTCTTTTTGTATCGTCCTACATATGCAAAGTTCATTTGGCATTTAGATAAAGTTTGCCTGGTTGCATTCCAGGCAGGTATGGGGTTAAGGATGAAATGAGTTACGCAGTTAAAGTGATGTCAGGTCTGCAAGTACATATGGTTAAGTGTTAAAATATCTCAGTGAAGGACTGTTTCATAATCCAACTATTTATACAGCATGAGAGATTTCATACTATGTGCTCTGATTACTAAGTGACATTGGGAGAGCACCGCTGGCTGCATCAGGAGAAAGTGCTGATTGTGCAAGAGCAGGGTACAGACTGGTAGGTAATACAGAAGCTCTGCATTTAAATAATGCATAATTCGTATCAGTGCAGTTTATTTAACTATTTCCTTAAATCAGAAGCGGGAATGGTTATTTGTGGAATGCATACAGAAATAATACCTCATGAGACCAAATGCAAGAAAAAGAGAAAAAAAATAGGTGCTTGTTTTATTAGAGCCTCCCTTGTCTGTAATGCCATGTGTGTCCATATCCCTGCCTTTCACTACCTGATTGTCACCTCAGCTTCCCAGAGCTGAGACGCTGTCACCTGTGCATCCCCTCTGGCCCAATGGGAATGGAGAGGTGAGGGGAGTCAGTCTGAACTTCTTTCTTCTAACTGTTGATGTTCCCTCTTGTCCCACCAAAGTGACAAGAGTTGTTAGGCCACTTGAGGACTGCCCTGCTGGGAGTCCTACTACTAGCAAGGAGATTGTGTAGCTTAGAGAAGTGAAAGAGACAATTACAGAACTCTTGCTGTTGCTACTGCCCCCCTCACAGAAAAAGTCATCTAGGGAATTACCAAATCCCTTTGAGAGAGGGGGAGATGACTTCTCTTGCTTGCAAACATCCAGGATGTCACTGATGCCTTGTCCTAAAGGCTTAGCTGTATTACTGCTATTTAACATAATAGCATCCAGAACAGTGTACAGTCACATTTTTAGATATAGTAATGTAAAAATCTTTACTCATTATCTTTAGCTGAAATTAGCTAATACCTATAAGATAAAAGTCGCTGGGGAGTTTTGAGAATTAACTTAGCAATTTGAACTACTTTCTAAAAGCAGAAGCAAGTTGTCAGTGCATTTGAGGACATTAAATATATTTTTGAGTTCTGCTTGGTGGAAGTGTAGCCAAATATCCTCCTCCCTCTTCTACAAGCATAGAAATCTGGATTCTCAATTCCTAACATTCTTCTCCTGCTTAGCAAACAGTCATATAAAATAATACGTGTCACACCGCCTTTCTTTTAGCTAATTCATACAAAGAATTCACTCCCAGTGTCATTGGCCAGCTTTCTGTCTTTCCTACCAGGAGAAGGCTAAGTATCCCACACGAAGGCTGAGTGTATCAAGTGCCTTTCTGTGCCATGAACTTGGGTTTGTTGGGACTCCCCGGTGCAATCGATCTGCATGCACTTCTAGGAAAGCTCAGGCATCCTTTGCATCATGTGCACAACATCCTGTGCTACCTGGTCATGTTTCTTTGCATTTCTTTTAAACTACAGTCTACTTGTCTACTATAAAAATATACAGGTTTTCAGATCCTGTCATGGCTGGGGCGGTAACCAGGAGCCTGGTAAGTGGCCATGGACAATGCCTGCTGCACATATCCCACATATCCTGTGGATGTCATGGCATAGCCCTAGCCATGTCCCAGCTCTGCTGCTTACATGCAGTAGGGAGAGTCACTTACAAACCAGGTGTCACAAATAGTGGCCTCCAGCAGGGTGGGTTCTCATCTGCAGGCTGTGAAGACAGACAGATGCGTAATTTAGCTGTGCTGGATCTTTCTCAGGAAATCTGCACCTTTTAGTTGAGTCTTTATAGGTCTGCCATGCACCATACTCCAACAAAGAACATCAGGTTATACAGTTGTTTCAAAATTACAAGCTGTTACTTTAGTTTTTCTTACACTTTTTCGTATTTAAAAATATTAGGATTTTTTTTTTTACATTTAGTCCTACACAAACCAAATTTTTATAGTAGTACATACTGTACACAGAAGCTTCAATACTGCTTCACTCTTTTTCCTACTAAATACAGACAAAAAAAAAGAAGATTATGCCTTTACATATTACCCTTAATAATGATTCATTAGCTAAGGATGCAGACCGTATACAAGACGGTAAAGAATATTTTTGTGTCATTATTTTGGGAAAGTACTTATTTAGAGGTTAAAAAAACCCACCTTTTGAAGGCTTTTTCATTTACAGGCAGCATTACAGTTAGGTCAGAATCATATGAAATTTGTTCAATTTTTCTGAACCTAACATATCAAGGTACAGATTACATATTTTTAATTCTGAGTTTCTTTCTAATTTTGGCCTTTGATAAAGGCAAAATGGTAAAATTACTTTCTCATGCACTGTGCTGCATTACTTCCCCTTTTAAAGTTTTTATGCACCACCCCATCAAAGAGATTACACTTCTTCTGCCATAAAATAATTTCTATTCTGGTACACAGACTGAGGTGCTAAATGAATAATTTTAAGTAAGATTATAGTGGTGCCCCTGGTCTATGGTTGATATTCCAGTAGTTATTAGTAATGAATATTGAAGAAATACAGCAGTTAAGACTCTGTCTAATGCTTAATGTTCATCAGCTGCATCCTGAGAGTGAAATTCTGCTTTCAACTGTATGTTTGTGGACATAACAGCAGAAGCAGTGGAGTCATAAACAGATTAAAGCAAAGTAAATTATGGTAGCTGGGCTTCCTGGCAACCATGGACATTGTTAATATGTCAGTGTGCAGAAAAACAGACTGCACAGTAAATCTGACTTGTTCTTGAGAACAAGTGTAAAACCACAGTAAACGAAGTAGTCAAAAAAAGATTAAAATTTTCCTGAACTGTATTAATAGTAAAAAAAGTAATAAGAGAAGATAATAATAATAGAAAGAGAAGATAATAACAATAGAAAGAGAAATACAGAAGAAGAGAATGACAAAGACCTTACTGAAGCTTTGGATATATGATTGCACAGTCATAGCACATGAGGATTACAGCAGCAGGGTATTTGTACAAAGGGTAAGTTCAAAGCTCATACAAGCTTATTTAGGGAGAAGTCAAGAATAAACTGTAAGGAATTATACTGATGCAACTATAGAATATTTTATGGTAGTAGGTTAATAGATAAAACAGGTATGGGGTGGTTAGTAGCTAACACTACAGGAATACAGGTAATTCAGCTATGAGTAATGCTTTTTCTGCAGAATTGCAATGAGAAGAACAACATATGTCAGAATTGAACACATGGAGCTCCAGGTTCATCTGCAGTATAATTATAGTTTAGTCCCCAGTGTAGTGTGTTTGGATCTTGTTATTTAGAAAATGTTTAGGCAACTTCATTTACATCTGAAATCACAGGCAAGAAAAGATGCTTGGCTTCCTTCTACAAGAGAGTGGAGTGGCACTTGCTTCTATTTTCTTTGAACAACATATAGAGTTTTCCCACAGTTCACATACCATGTGACAATCTTAACATTCTATACATTGATATAATAATGCTGGTATTCTTATAAGAAAGTATAGAGGTCAGCTTAGTAAGAACACTACTTGACAGTTTTTTCTTTTATCTTGCATATGTGTCTCATGTGACACAAGGCTATAATGTAATGTCTTATGTAA